GATCAGCGTCTATCGGCATCTGAATTGTTGCCGAATTGAGGCCAGTTTTAGGCTGATTTATGGTTGAATTTAAGTTTTGAATGGCCATGTCCGATTGGGGTCGATCGGCGTCTATCGGCACCTATTTGTGCCGATCGGAAAATATGGCAAATCGGCCGTAAATAGTATCAAAATCAGCCTAAAATCGGCTATCCGATTTTAGGCCGATTTGGACTATTTCGACTAGTGTTGATACACTTGATGAAATACATCAAAAAAATTATATTCATTGTAATCTTCATGATGGTAATATTTTAAATATTAAAAATAATATTTTTTCAATTAGTGATTTAGGATTATGTAAACCTGTAGAATATTTTCAATTACTTAAAAAAGATAGTATTTATGGTGTTTTATCATTTGTAGCACCTGAAGTTTTAAGATATCAATCTTATTCTAAAGCTAGTGATATATATAGTTTTTCTATGATTATGTGGGAATTTATATATGGAATTCCTCCATTTTATAATGAAGCTCATAATTTTCAACTTAGTTTAAATATTTGTAAAGGTAAACGTCCTGAAGTAACAGAAAATATTCCACAATATTATATAAGTTTAATGAAAAAATGTTGGAATAATGATCCATTAAAAAGACCAACTGCATTAGAAATTAAAAATATTATTGAAAATTGGTATGAAAATATCAAAAGTAAATATTTTGATAAAGAATTAAAAAATGATATTATAGATTTTTATAAAGCAGATAAAGCATTAAAACAAAAACAAAATAATAATATATCAAATAATAATGTATTTACTAAATCTCATTTACAAGCATATTATACAAGTCATTGAAAAATTAAATCAAGTTTTAAATAAAGATATAAAAACTGAAATTAGTAAAAATATAGGTAATTATTATAATATTTATAAATATAAAAGTTTTTAAGATTATTAATTAATATGTTTTCAATTTTATAGAATATTTAAATATTAAAGAAAATGAAGTTAGTAAGTTATTCAAATAAATATTTAATCATTTATAAAATTTAATCAAATATAAATATTATAAAATTTTAAAATTAAAAATTAATTATTATATACGTAAATAATTTAATTTAATTATGATAAACAAATTCATTATATAAACTATTTTAAATGTTATAATCTTTAATAATATTTAAAATAATTACAAAGATTTAGATTTTATCATTATAAATTTAAATTTAAATTTCTTAATATGAATTAACTTAGCATTTTATTTTTATAGATTATGAATTAAAAAATAATAAAAATATACCTGGTAAATATAATTTTATTTTTAAATTTGTGTTTTATATATTAAAAATTATTAGGCAGGAATAATCTTTTTCGATTATAATATCCTTATACAATAATTAAATTATATATAAAAAAACAACAATAGAAGTGTTGGCTAAAAACCAGATTACAAACTATATCTCTATCGATAGTAATCCTTTTAACTCTATCCAGCTAAATGAACCTACGGTTGTTATTCGTAATGGTAATGGGTTATATTGAAACACAAACTTTAGAAATGATTCGGAGTTTATTTCCATAAAAGCAACCATTTCTCCTGGAATTTCCGCCACTTCGTATTTACAAATTGAGAAGTTGCAGGAATTACTCATTAGCCGAAAGAATGATATCGATGATTTATTAAAATTGCAACCTGTATATGCTATAGGAATTGATTTTCATAATGATTCTATCAGTCCATGTATTTCTTGCTGGGTTGCTAAACCGTTAGACAATTCAATTTTGGAATGTCTTGAAGCTATGTTTGAGAATCAATTTGAAGCTATATACCAAATATCGATTCCTGATAAAAGTGACATTAATCTTCCAAATGATGAAGAAAAAGAACAAGAAACAGTCAAGGATGAAGAGAAAGATAAAAGCAGTAATGACAATGGAAGCGATAATGATAATAAAAGTGTTAATGATGGTAATAAAAAAAATAGAGATGATGGCGATGGTAATGAAAGTGATCATAGTGATAGTGATAACAGTAGTGGCAATAGTAATGATAGTAATAATGGTAATGGTGATGGTGGTGGTGATGATGATGATGACGATGGTAATGGTAATGAAAATGATGAAAATTGTATGATTACCATAGCTTCTGATGCAATCGTTATTACTGCTGATCAGAAGAATTATCAAAAATTTACCATAGCTACTGATCTTCGGGCTAAATTTTCTCCACTTGACCTGGAGTATGAGATCAATGTATATCAATGCACAACAGGAAAAATGCTTAGTAAAGATTTACCATTTTTTCAAAGGCGCGGTCATGGATATTTCCTTGATTCTGTTGAAGTTTGTGTTTCTCCAATTCCATATATACTTAATACTACGAATAATTTGTTTATGAAATTAGGCACTTCATATCCGCAGCAGTTAAATCGAACTGTTGAAATTTCAAATTGTCGCGAACGAAGCTTTGAAGGAAAAATTGGTGGACCAAACATTTCAGCAAAATGTGGTATAAAAAGTTTTACAGATACTAAATATACATCTAATGAGTGGACATTGAATTATTGTAGTGATCATACTACTGGGGATATTTGGTCATATCGGTACGCTGATAACCTTGAAAACGAAAGAAACTGCAGAACTAGTTATTATCCTGGTTACCATTCCGCCAAGTGGGAAACCAAGGAAACTATGAAGGGATTTTGTATTACTATTACTCAAGTAGTACGCTATAGGATTTCCATATGGGATAAAGTAATCCCACAAAAACCAGAATTTATAACATGCCCTGTTATTGCTCATAATCTTAAAATATCCTTTAATAATTTTAAGGACTTTAATACAAACTTTGCAAAGATAGCAAGGTTTAATAGAGGTAAATATGATATTAATAATAGTATTAATATTGGTATTTCAGATATTTAGAATTTGGATGGGGAAATCAAAATCAAACGTTCATTTTCACCTAGAGCTAAATAAATGTGTTCATCGATTAGCCCTAAATATCATTTTTTTATCAATAATATTTTTAACAACGTATTTAAATTGGATATCTATTTATCAAATAATGAAATCATTTTTTTCTTTTTCTAATTATTTTATCATTATATTGTTCAACACTGATTATAGAGTATTTGTAATAGTAATATTTCTAATACATAAATAAAATCAGTTTGTAATTGAGTGATTTATTTATCATAAAAAACATTATTTATAAACTGTTAATTACTGTATTTTTTATAATTTAAATTCATTTCTAAACTTTCTATGACCAGAGATAAGAAATAATTTATGTTTCTCAATGATTTTATTAGAAGCTCTTTAAAGCTGTAATTTCATAGATAGTATTTGGAAATTCTCTTTAAATGAAAACGTCAACAAAAACCTATAATTAGCCATAATATCGTGGGTGCAGTCATATTTATTAAATAAACAATTATTTGGATTTTGAAAGAATTAGGAAAGGTCTCGAACAAATAAATATGAGACCATACAGCAAATATTAAATAAGGTTCAACGCGTTAGCAATCCCTATTGTGATCTATAGTTTTATTATCCATTCTAGGTATACTTCACTCATTTCTAAATAACGCTGTAACTTGTGTTTCGTCAAGTAAATCCATAATTATTTAAGGAAAATGATTTAACGCAATGTGTTAGGTAAGAAGGTGGTACTACTTATCAAAGAATAAAATGTTCTTTTTTATTTATACATGCAAAGTAAGAACAATTCAATTATACAAATTTTATGAATGAGTTTGGTATCTTTCTAATTCACGAAGTCTTTGAATATATATATATTTTTTTTTTAATATCCACAGGTGAATTTAAGGAATCTTCTTTTTTTTCACTTCTTTGAAATGATTTTATATTTAAATAAACATGAAAATAAAAAAGAACAATTTAGATTTATACAATAACTAAATAATTAATGAATTAAAAATTTAAATGCTCTTTGTTTATTGAAACACACCCAATGTTGAATTTATAATTAAAGATTAACAACAAATTAAAGTTTTACAATTTGCAAAACAATAAAGAATTAAGAATTTGAAATTATTACTTCTATTTATTTTGAAGAGATTTGTTTGCATATTAACTATTAACGTTAAGGTTGCGAGAAAAACCTTTATGTTTCATTAGATCATTCGTTGAAAATCGAAAATATATATTTAAAAAGTCAAACTGAAACATGAAATCCTTGCAATAAACGGATTCTATTTATATTTTTGTATTTATCAAGAAAAATAGTTTTAGAAATGATTATTAATAATAATCAGCTTTTTCTAAATAAATATTCACGTATGACATAACTTTTTTTTTTTTTGTATTACTAGCGAATATTTGTTATGATAAATTACGTAACCATGATGTTTTTTTATTTTATCGAAACAAAATCAACATTATAATTAATTTCTATTTTTCTTTCGACTGCTTATTTCAAATAATGGCCATGGAAATAATAACATTTATTTGGTTTTTTATTAAATATTTTCAGGAATCTGAGTCTACATGATATTAGACAAAGGATGACATAATTTAAATTCTCGTAAAAAATTTATATTGGGAGGATTTCTAGAAAAATCAGGTTCCGAGAAATTTTTGACTAAAAATAAGAGCTTAATGCATTTTAATCTAATAACATCAAAACTAAAATGCAATAAAAATCTCAATTATGTTAAAAAATTCCCGGAATCTGATTTTCCTAGAAATCAACCTTCAAAATATAGTTTTTGCGATTTCCTATTTTTACTTCGTAATGGACTTTTACCAATTATTTTGTTTCATATGAATTGAGTCCAAATTTACCCATAGGAACGATCTTTCAACGAATATAAAAAATTCCAATTAGTTCACAGCGCTAGGTTCACATAGGAACTATCTTTTACAAAGTTGAATTCAATCCTTACTGATCGACGACTTTCGAATTCAGATTTTATACATTGTTAACTAGAGTTTGCGGTTGCAGGGGACTTCGTCCCCCATTTAGCATTAAATAATTGATGGCGTAACCAATTTAATTAAACTTTAAATTTCATTTATTGGAGAAATAAAAATATAAAATCAAATTTTTGAATACATTTAATTATATTGATAAAAAGAAGTTTAATTTTTATTAATTTAATTTTCTTTGCAGTTATTTTTTTTTTTAATTATTTTTATTAATTTTTATTTTAATTTGTATTTTATTTTAATAATTGATTTTTTTGATTTTAGATTTAATTTTTTTTTCGATTATAGATTACATTTTTTTTTTATACATGCAATTTTATTAATAGATTTTTTAAATAGCAAATTAAAAAATATATATATATAAAAAATTCGTGGATATTAATTAAAAAATATTATTTTAAATTTCAATTTTTTTTTTAATTTTTTTAAATTGTTTTTTAACCTTATTTAATACTCTCAAATGACAGATAATATTTGTCATTTGGAATTATATCATGTGATCTGTAATACTAGCCAGAATTATTTAAATGTTATAAAACAAACTATGGCAATTTAGTATCATGTCACAATAAGGTTATTTTAAAACTTTAAAACTATTGAAACTAAGCAACTAAAATGCTGAAATTGCCAAAAAAGTTTTGGAATTTCATATACATAGTTTCAGCATTAACTATAATCTGCGGTTACAGATTTTATTCTGATTTACTGAGTTTTTTTTAAAAAGATATTTTAAAAAGATATTTTGTAAGATATTTTTTTTAAAAAAAAAAATTCTCTCTGCTCTGATGCTCCCTCTATATTTTTTATTTAAAAAATCAGTTTTAATTTAAAAACAAAAAGACTCAGAATTTACAAAATAGTAATTTGTCAATGCTTTGCTTACTTTTTATTCTTTTTTACTTTAGAAATGTTACTAACATTCTGTCTAATCTTTTTTTTTCCTGGACTTGAATCTCAACC